TCTGAGCAACAAAACACGTAAATAATATCCAATAATAGCCCCAAATATAAAGTAAATATGAGTCCATATTGATGTGAATGAATGAGGAGGAAGAGAGAGGTCTCCCTCACACGAGAATTCTAAATCATTTAGATAGATCGCCGCTCCAGGTGAGGGGTGCCTCCTTTAAGGGTAGGCTATCCAAGGAACTGCCTTCTCTTTCTTTTTTTTTAAGAATTATTTTACTTAACTTTATTTATTTTGATTTGACCAGAGAGAGACAGAGTGAGAGAGAAAGAAAGAGAGAGGGAAAGTGAGAAAGCAAGTCACCAGGTCCAGGACTCGAACCACAGTCAGCCATGTGGGAGTCCAGCGCCCTTAACCGCCACACCACCTGCTGACCCCAGTAACTGCCTGCTTCTTTCCAAAGGCCTCGGTCCAGGAAGAAGGCAGGAGGAGCCACTGGCACCACTCCTGCAGCCGGGCCACCTGGCCGACCTCAGCCCTTCACTCTAATGAAAAGCCATGTCCCCACTGCAGTCTGCCTGCTGAAGACCCCACATCCAGGGTAGCCATGGGGGACAAAATCGGGAAATCCAAGTCCAGGAACACTAATAAAGCATCCAACTGGCATTCCTCGAAGCCACCAAGGTCACCAAAAACAAGGGAAACCATCGTGGCCCTCAGAAGCCCGTGCGTCGCCCGACCTCGTGAAAGAGAGACAGGAGCCGCGTGTCCTCAGCTTCACTCACCCTCTCCCTGAGAACTATGACCACAGAGCTCTGTCCTGGAACAGCTGCTGGGTCCCTGGTGTCCCCAAAGAGCCGCCGCACTGCCTCCGGCACAGACACAGCCCTGTGGAGGCACAGCTGCTGAAACCTCGGAGTCAGGCCTGAGTGTCCCGAACCCGCGGGACGAATCGGGCAGGGAAACTCCAGCGAGGGGGCGAAGGTCTGGAACCGGCTCGGTGTCTCAGCACGGGAGCGAAAGAAGTATCACAGCTCACAGTGTCACAGCTCTTTGATGTAAAGGTTTCGCTCATTTATTGAGGGCGAGAGCGCTTTCTTATATACACAAGGTGGAGGGAGGTAGGCGGGGTTTACAGCGGACCTTATTGAGGACCTGCCAGCTCTGTGTGAACCAGGGGGTCTGCATTCCTGGTGTCTGTGTCAAGGTCGCACAGGCCATTTTTAAGCAGTGAAGGTCATGACAGCCATTTTGATGTGGGCGGCTCCCCACACCTGAGTGCCACCGAGCTAAGCCCAGGGCTGCTGCTGGGAGATGAGAAGGCCAGCGAGTGCCGGGGATGAGGGGAATGAGAGAGATGAGAGGTCGAACCTTGAGGGCAAAGGTTTAGGGAATAAGAATACAAGAAACCAAAAGAGTGGCTTGAGAAGGCAAGAGCGCAGGTGCAGGAGAGCGAGAGACAGAGCCCACAGATAGGGCGGGCTGACCCGCACCTGCAGGAGGCTGGCGAGACCACCCAGCAAGCCAGGGAGCCAGGGCAGGCAATTACGTAACTGTTGTTACGTGATTGTCGGTTCCGAGGATTTTTCGAATAAAAAATCCCTAAAATTGTGTCCCCTGCTTTTACCTGCTCGATCCTGGAAGAATCTCTCAGATTATGTTAGCTATCAGCTTTAGTCCACCATGTGACACGTGATAGCTCATTCAATTACCTTCCTACTCTTAAATATTCCATTTGATCATAACAAGGAAATATTTAGATCAAGGTCACAATGAACATTGGTGCTTCTAGAAATTACTGCTTGTGAGGGCTCTCTCCTCCAGAGACATGCCTGAGAAGTATAGTCACTGCTAGGCCAGCAGATGACATGGGAGTAGAGGCACTGGACTCCCACATGGCCGACTGCGGTTCAAGTCCTAGACCTGCCAGCTTGCTTTCTCACTTTCCTTCTCTCTCTGTCTCTCTCTGGTAAGCATATATGCCCTATAAACATTTTTTTCTTTTCTTTTTTTTCTTTTTTTCTTGGAGAGGTTTTTGCTATAGGGCGCATGCACTTACCAGAAAGACAGAGAGACAGAAAGTGAGGTGGGGGGGTGGCCACACTGCAATTCCTTCTCCTCCATTCTCTTCTCAGGATATTGGGAACGCACACACACATGCCTGGCGTGAGTTTAAGACACTGGATCTGGGACGCGAACTGTGGTCGACTGCGTGGGAGTCCAGCAACATAGCCATTACAACAAATGCTTGTCCCAACAAATTAAAAAATAATAATTAAAATAGGGAATCAGCAGTTAGCGTAATGGCTATGTCGCTGGACTCCCACGTAGTCGACTGCGGTTCGTGTCCCGGACCCGGTGGCTTAAAACTCACACCGAGCATGTGTGCGTGCGTGCCCAAGATCCCAAGAGGAGAATGGAGGAGAAGGGATTATAGCGTGACCATCCCCCCTGGGGGGTGATTTCTCGCTTTCTGTCTCTATGTCTCTCTCTGTCTGTCTGGCAAGTTCATGCGTCCTATAGTGAAAATCTCTCCAAAAATAATAATAATAATTAAAATAAATTAATAGATATATATTTTTAAGTACAGCCTTTGTCAGCTTACAACCTCTGGCAATTATGCTATCAAAAACCAAACAACTAGTTCCATTATTTTCTGCAAATTTAATATATTTGGATTATTTACTTATGTGATAGCTTTAACAATTTCATCCAAAGCTCTGTAGTCAGTCTCCTGGTTCTTGGCCTGGTTCTTCACTCGTCACAGTGAAGGGCAACCACACCAGTCAATGCACGGGAATACTAGCCAGCGCCCACACCAGCCCATCCGCTGCCCAGCAGGGCCCCGGAGCAGCGGGCTATACGGGAAGTCCACCTTCCTATGCTCTGGGAGCACTTACACGGGTTCTTCCTCTTCCCAACATATGTTCAATTACCTTGTTCTGCCTGTGAACATGGAGAAGATTTATTGGAGTGATTTTAAAACAGAAGATATAAGTAGGAAATTAAAATGGCCCAAAATCTTTTTGGCCCTGATAATCCAGGTTGACATTTTATAACAAATAAAGAAACATAGTTAGAAAATTCAAATAATAATGGAAGGGACCTACAGCTTCGCATGCCCTGACTAAGCCTGGCTCAGCATGGGTTTTCGTAAGGAGAAAAACACACAGAGTTGAGACCAGCAGTTTGAGTGGTGGTTGGGGCCGTGGATTCCCACATGGCCAAATACAGTCTGAGTCTCAGATCTGGCCACTTGAGAGTCATGCCAGGTGTATGTGTGTGCATGCCCAAGATCCCAAGAGGAGAGTGCAGAAGGGATTACAGCGTGGTCATCCCCCCTGGGGGTAGGGATTCCTCACTTTCCTTCTCTCTGTCTCTGTCTCTCCCTGGCCAGCATGTGTACCCTATGGCAAAAAAAAAAAAAAAGAAACTTAAAAAAATACACAAGATTCAGAAATTGGCACTCCTACACAACAGCAAAGTAAAACCATACAGGCTAATCAGTCCAGTGAAAGCACCACCAAAGAGGGCCAGAGCTGTGAAGAGATGGGGGAATGGGGGAGAGGAAGGCCAAGAACCAACAGGGATGAAGAGTGAAAACCCAGAAAACAAAAATATCAACTAATATTCCAAGAGATTCAAGAAGATAAGACAAAACAAAATGCAATGTGCTATGAAATGGAATACGAAGGGAATAAAGGTTTTAGAGATTAAACTATGCTTATAACTCTCTGAACAAAAACAACAGGCGTATAAAATGGAGCTGGGGAGGCACCTTAGAGTGAGGATGAGAAGGTAAAAGAATAAAGTGAGGGAGGAAAAGGCGAGAGCAAAGGCAGAAGGCGGTGCCACCCGTGTCTGAGTAATAGCTCCTCCATGGGGAAGACAGGTGAGCCAGCTGCCGAGAAACAGCTGAGGAGGGACGGAGGTGAGGGACTGGAAGTGCCAAGCTGGATGAGTTACAGAGAGCACTTTGGAAGCAATCTAGAGACACGTGAGCCCGGTGGGTGGGAACGACAGCTTTTGGAGAGAAAGCGGGCATCTCCCCTAGGCAAGGACGTGACTGGCCCCGGCCATGCCGCACAGCAGGCTGAGTCGGTTTGAACCCGCTCCGCACCTGTACTGTCAAGCTCAGGTAAGGCAAGCGAGTTGAGGGTGCCGTAAAGCGTGACTGTTCACGGAAGATGAGCTGCAGACACTGGAGACCGTGGAGGAGCTGTTAGAAGCACATGGAAAAGGAAGGGCAATAAGAAACTCGTGGACAAGAACGATAGAATTCTGCCGTGGCCTGCTTGTAAACAATTGGTGGAAAGTTTCATTTGGCTCGTTTGTCTTTTTGTGGTTTTTGCTTTAGGCACGCGTGCTCGCCAGAGAGAGACAGACAGTGAGACAGTGAGAGAGAGAGTGAGAAATCACCCCCTGGAGGAAAGGCCAGGCTGCAATCCCTTCTCCTCCATTCTTCTCCTGGGATCTTGGGCACACACACACACACGCCCTGCATGAGTTTAAAGCCTTCAGGTCGGTGGGGGAGCGGGGTTGGAACCATGGTCAAGTATGTGGGAGTCCAGCGATGTAACCACTATGCCACCTGCTGGCCCTTAGTGGAAAGAAATTTTTTTCTTTCCTTTTCTTTCTTTTTTTTTTTTTTTTAGAGAGATTTTTGCTATAGGGTGAAGAGACAGAGATACAGAAAGCGAGAAATCAGCCCCCGGGGGGATGGCCATGCCACAGCCCTTCTCCTCCATTGTCCCCTCAGGATTTTGGGCACGCACTCACACACCCGGTGAGACTTTTAAGCCACCCCGCCCAGGACTACGTGGGAATCTAGTATGTAACCATTGCGCCACCTGCTGGTCCCTGGAA